GATCCTTCCCAAGAATAGAACTGGCTTGACAAATCTTTTGCCTAAACTGGGAACCAAATAACTAAGGGCCATTGTAAATGAGAACAGAAACCACCACAGAGGGGAACATGGTAACTCCTCCATCCTTTATCCAGGAGAGAAAACCAATGGTGTTTTTCTTCCTTTGTCAAAATAATCTTCTAAATGTTCATCTGAGTGCTCCAGTAGAGCAACGCAAGGAAGAGGTCTCATAGGAGCCTGCAACTTAGCACAGGTAATGTGGTTCTCAGCAGACAATGGGCAACAGAGTCAGACAGACTGGGCACAAATCCCAACCAGCAGCTCTACCTACAATTGCTGGTCTCTGAGCAAGTTATGTAACCTCTCTATGCCTCTGTTTCTCATTTGTAAAACAGACACATGACCACCTAGCTCAAATGTCCTCTGAGAGCTTTAAACGGGATGATAATACAGAGCCTGACAAATAATGTTCTATGTGCATCAGTTTCTTACCTGTCCTTTCCTTTCGGTTCAGAGTGCATTATCTCTGACTCCAGGCCCCTCAGACATGGGGAGGTGACCCAGGGCCACCTGTCAGCATTCTTCTGCCATCACCCCCCTGAGAGCCCAGTTCTCAGTATTTTCCATCTTCAATGAACACAAAGTACCTGGCTTTCTCTCTGCTTTTAGAAACACAGATTACTGCTTTCCCTTCTATTTTAAATTTGCTTTAGGTTCTTCTGTGATGTTTAACATGGCATAAAGTGTCATAGCAGCATTTTAAGGGGAAAAAAATCAGACGCTAATAAAATACTGAGTATTAGCTCTGGCCAAGCGGCTCAGTTGGTTGGAGCATTGTCCCATACACCAAAAAGGTTGTAGGTTCAATCATCAGTCAGGGCACATACAGAAGGCAACTGATCAATGTTTCTCTCTAACATTGATGTTTCTCTGTTTCTCTCTCTCTCTCTCTCTCTTCTCTCTCTCTTCCTCTCCCTCTCCCCGCCTTCCTTCCACCTTCCTTCTCTCTCCAAAAATCAACGAACATATCCTTGGGTGAGGATTTTTTAAAAAATTAAAATACTAAGTTTTTTCAATAAATATGCTAAGGAAGGGCAAGGGGAATAAAAATCAAAAGCTTTTTACATGAGTCAGCAAGCCAGCTGGGTTGAGACCATTGAATTATACAAACATGGAAGACAAAAAGGACCCCAGAAATAATCAATCTTTCCTCACCTGGTCAAGTTTAACACCTTATCCCCAACCCAAAAAATGACTTTGCATCTTCAGTATTGTTTTTTAAAGACAGTAAATGATGCCATCTGCATCCAGTCTCCTGCCCAGTATGACTCAACAGTGGGTCACATACCATCTCTGTTGTTATTATTTGAGAATTACACCACACATATTACATGTCAAGTGCCTTCCAATCATTTTTATTAGTCTATACACCACTGAACTAGCATCCTTAAGTATCTTGTTTCCTTTTATAGAAGAGACAAAGAGGTCAAGTGATTTGCCTAAGGTCATACAGCAAGTTTATTAAGATCACAGGCAAAGGGAAGGAGTGTGAGGTCTGAGAGAGGCTGCTACATCGCTGGGATCCTCAATCCTCTGAGCCCCTACAAAAGGCAAGTTGGGTAGTATGAGCACAGATCTTATCTTTAATTCTGATCTTCTCCTGCACAGTGTGACCGTGTGTGAAGAACAGATATGCTTCCTATTGCCATTCCTAAAAAGGAAACTTTCAATAATTTCCCGTCTCTGCTAAAGGAATGACCTAGGAGGAAGCTAGATCCAATGCCTAACACCTTCTCCCTTGTAACAACCAACTCTGAACTAAGGACAAGAGAAACCAGGATGGAAAATTGAACTCCAAACATGACATAATTTTATTCCAGAACTCTGAAGTGTGTCTTCATAAATGATTTTTTTCTTATAAACCTGAGCAAGTATGACCAAGACTAGGGTGACTATGGTGTTTGTGACCAGAGACTATGCAGATGAAATGCCCCCCAGAATATGCCCACTTTACCAATGTCCAGTGGGATTCTCACAGTCATGAATGTGCGTGTTCACATAAACATAGTCAGGGTCTACTAGAGACCACTGAGTAACAAGGCTGTGAACTTTACCAACACCTCATTTTAAAATGCCTTTGGAATGCCTATTCAGGGGCAGCTACAGAAAAAGCTAAGAAATGCAGGAAGAGGAGGACGAGACCTTTCCTGAACTAAATTGCCTTTCCCTGACTTCAGAGTATCTGAGAATATTAGTTTCTTGGCAAGCTTGATTGGCACATTGCTCAAAGCAGGCAGGGCCATACAGGTGTGCTCTGGATTTTAGGCCAAGGAGTGGGCATCTTCTTCCCTCAGAGACAACTCCAGAGAGAGGGAAAAACATTGGCAGCCACTTGGCACACTGGATCTAAGAAATGGCAAAACTCCTCCCCCTGCCTGCACCCTGCTCTGTACCAGTACACATGTTTTATGGGGATTAGAAAGACTTTGGAGGTGGGATAGCAGGAGAGAGAAGACTCTCTGCAGATGGGGGAGGGAATGAAAATAACAGAGCCAACTTTCCCATCCTCGGTTGAACCCATGTTATAGACATATTTTTCCACATTGTAGAATAATAATCCCTTTATCCAGACAGTCTGGAACCATCAGTCCCTGATAATTGATTTCAGACTTTAGATGGAAACTTGGGAAGGTGTGGATAGCTGGAAAATGGGGAGAGGCAGGGGTGAGGCCCATAAAAAGGAGGGTGAGGTGGGGGGTAGCTTAATGAAGATAAGGAAGCCAAAGACTTCAGACATAGAAGGCAGACCCCAATACAGCCAGGTAACAAGCCAAATCAGCTTCCCCAATGGGGCCTTGGAAGAGGATGGCCATGGTTTTACACCAGGCACTAGGCCAGGTTCTGGTCCTGGCCCTAAGACCTTCGGCAAGTGCACAACCTCTAAAGTCTGTCCTGGATCTGGACCAGTCTTAGCTTCCTTCCTTCCTGCTGACAGTCATTCCATTCATGCACCTACTTATTGAGCATCATTTATTCTGTAAATGGGTAAAATGGCAAGTCTATTCTATGAAGGGCAAAATATTTTACAGTCTAAATATTTTAGGCTTTGGGAGCCATATGGTCTATGTTGCAATTACTCAACTCTACCATTGTAGCACAAAAGCAGCCACAGATAATATATACATGAATGAACACTGCTAAGTTCCAATAAAATTTATTTACGGATACTGAAATGTGAGTTTCATACAATTTTTATGTATCATAGAATATTATTCTTTTGATTTTTTCCGATTATTTAAAACCATTATTAGCTTTCAGGCTACAGAAAAACGAATGGCAGATAGGATTTGGCCTGTGGACCAATTTGCCAACTTCTACTCTAGGGATACAGTGGTGAACAAGAGAGGGTCTCCACATTCTATGGTTCTGTGACTGCTGTTCTAGAGGCCTCCTCTGGCTTCAGAGTGGCCCTATGAATGTGGGCTCTGCTTAATTTTGTTGCACATTGGTGTAGGCTGGCCTTCTGTTCCTTTGAAATCTCATATAACCATGACGTCGACACTGTGGGATCCCAAGTGTTAGAGGCCTCCTTGGTTGTGCCAGGGGTTCCTCACAGCCCATGATGTCTCAGGCTTATGGGAAAGGTTTGCGTTAAGTATCAGAATGAGATAAATGAGAGGCAACAGAAGAGGAAATCTGTATGTGGGTGGTGAGGAAAGTGATGATAGAACAAAAAGATCAGCAATTGTTTCTCCCAAAAATTCAGAAGAAAAAAAATAAGATTAAATGAGATCGCACCATTCATTGTTCTGTATGTGTTGGGTAAATGGGTGATGGGATTTCATAGAAAGGGAATGAAAGAGATAGCGCTGAGCTATGCAGACTCTGAATCGTACCTGCCTCCCCCAAGACCCCTTCCAGAGTCTAGCTGAGATCCCACTCCAGAGAACAGTGGCCAAAGAAAACTGCCATGTACATGTATCTAAGGAACTCCGACAGGGGCACCATTGCTGATAAGCTCAATCATAACTGAGACCACTACTGGTGTCTGCAGATACAGAGGCGGGTTCTGTGGCATCACCCAGAGGCCTATCACACACAGCCAAATATGCCCTTTCTAATAAGGATTCCGGGTCTAGAGGACCACATGAAGAAAACCTAGAAGGGTCTTCAGAGCACTGCTGAAGGCAACAAGGACCATACAAACCTCAAAGGGCTCGCTGCTGCATTTGTAGCCCTGTTAGGGCTCTTCTAGCTTACAATCTTCAACAGGATGAAGTCCTTAGAATCATGAAAGCATAGACTGAGAGAGCTAGATGTGTCCCTAAAGGTTATCCAGGTCAACTCCTTCATTTAACAGATGCAGAAGCTGAGCCACAGAATGAGTAAGTGGCTTGTCCAAGATCACGATGTCTGTGGTGTCAATGACCTGGTCCTGCTTCACTAACTTATGATACTTGAATTCTTTACTCATTCTGAGAAAAACAACAGAAAGACAAGAAACAACTAATAAAGAGCTAACAATCAGTAAGTGCTTATTGTGTTATCTCAGTCAATCTTCATAACCACCTTAGGTACCATTCTGCAGCTGAGGAAACTGAGGTTTACGTAAGTCAAGTCTGGCTCAGGGTCACGGAGCGAGCAAGCAGGAGGACTGGGTTCTGAACACAGGCAGTCTGGCACCAAGCCTGCGCCCTTACCTGTACATTGCACTCTGAATCCCATACCGCCATCCTGCCTGATGATTACAGCAGCGGGGAGAGGGGTGATAATGTCAATACCAGCAGAGTCCTACACAGTTGTGCTCCATCCAGGGCATTAGGCCCCTTGGTGCCACACCAGCAGTACTGGCTCCCTGCTACACCGCAGCACAAAGGCCTCCCCGCCGGGCTCTCCCTGTAACTGCCCAGAAGACGGAGAATCCCCTATCCCAGATTTTGGGGGAAACAAAGGCACCGTGTCTTTTCCCTCCCACGGACAGAAGGCAGGCCAGGACTCACCTGAGGCAAGTCCGTCTCCAAGGAGGGTGCTAAGGATCGCCAGTGGCAGGAACACTCCATGTCCCACACAGGCCACGGCAGACGCTGAGGTGCTCTTTGGTGCTATCCTGCCATGGCACATCTTTTATCCGTCCAAGTTATTTTAAAAAGAAGAAAATTAAAAGCCAGAAGAATTCTAAAGTCAGCCAGGGGTAGATTCACCTATAGAAAACAAAAAACAAAGACATAAGTGAAGTGAAAATTTTATCCATATATTAGTTACAAGTAGGCATTTTGGTAAAGATGCCATAAGCACATACAGAGTTGAAAGAATTCTAGCAATTGAGTTCCTGCTTTCAGAAGAAGACACAAGCACTTCGGTGGCTTTTCAACTCCTTCCTGGGGAAATACCAAGGCCTGAAACAGCTGCGATTGGTGTTTGCGAAACAGCATCGGCATCTAGGAGCCAGATCCTTGCGATAGGACAGGGAGACAAGCACTGGCTCACCAGCTCACCTGGAGGTCAGTCGGACACAGCAAAGCTTTCAGAGACTGCCCGGACTCTGCCTGCCTGCCTGCCTGCCTCAGAGGCTCCAGCAGGGAGGAGGAGGGAGGCTCCAGCAGGGAGGAGGAGGGAGGCTCCAGCAGGGAGGAGGAGGGAGGCTCCAGCAGGGAGGAGGAGGGAGGCAGCTGTTGACACAGAGCTGCTGCATCAGAGCCTGGCTTCGCCTTTGCCACTTGCACTCAGAGTAAATTCAAGTTAACTGAGAGAGAGAGAGAGAGAGAGAGAACAGAAGAGAGGAGAGAGAAGGGGGGGGGAGAGAACAGAAGAGAGGAGAGAGAAGCGGGGAGAGAGAGAGAGAGAATGAATATGAGAATATGAATGAGAATGAACTTGTGTCTTAAAGGGAGAATGCACCGCCTAGGGAAGGAATGCAGCAGTGAGAGCCAAGGGCCCCCAGCTTGGCCTGCTCAAATGCCTGAGGCTGGATGAGCCCCTGAGGACCTGACTCTGACTTAACAGCTCACAGGTGACCCCAGAGACCATACTGGCTGGCTGGACCTGACGATGAGTGGGGGGAGGACAGCTATAGCTGTTAATAAGCCCCACCACCCACTCTAGTTCAGACAAAGACTTTAGAAGGGCAAGAACCAGTATCTTAAAAAAAAAAACAACAAAAAACAAAAAAACCCAAAAAAACAGGAAGCAAGGCTTTTAAGGAAGTTTTCCTACATGCCTTCAGGGAAGCAGCTGGATTGATGACACATTATGATATGGGCCTATTATATTTTACTTAACTCATTTGATTTAATTTATCCTAGCTTATAACAGGTATTGCAAATAATAAGATTACACTTCCTTTTTTATTTTAATTCCATACAACACCTCCTTCTCCATTAAAAAGACCTTATGTAAACAGACAGGGGAGTCTGCCATCTGCCACCCTAATAAAGGATGCCCCTGAGACTCTGTCAGAGATATTATCCAGACCTGACTTTAATCCATGTCTGAAGCTTTGACTCAGGCTTATGCTCCCCTTATAAAAAGAGTTACTGCAAACAGCAATGAGCTGTCTCAGTCCAAAGGAAAAGCATCTGTGAGGGTCTTCAATGAGTATGAGCCAGGGGTTCAAGAACAGAGCTAGCCGCTGGGACCTTACCCACTACCCACAAATATTTGTGACTGTGGTCTTCTGTTCCCAGACTCTTAACTTGAGCCTTTACAGTTGTACAACAGGATGGTTCATGCAGAGTCCTAGGGGTGGAGTCTGTGAGTGATCCAAAATAGTACATAAAACTGTGTGTATGTAAATGTATGGAATGTGTATACATTTATGTGGCTAAGAACCACAGAATTAGAGTGCCAGAATTCAAATGTTTCTTTTATTATGGCCAAATTACTCTCCAGCCTCAGTTTCCTCATCTGTAAAATGGAGACAGTAACCATGTGTCTTCATAGCGTTGATGTAAGAATCAGGATCAAAGCACTTGACATAGTGCCTGAACTTTGCAAGTCCTCAGTGAACACCGGCTGCTGGTGCTATTGTAATTAATAGTAAGATCTGAGCTGTGGGACCTTGGAGGTTATCTGGCTTCATCTTCTCACTTGACAGATGCCAAACTAGGGTCTGAAGAGGTTAATGGATATGCCCAGGGCCACCAGCCACTTAGCAATAGGCCCTTTGGTGCTGCTGTTTTACATACAGCTACTGTAGGTAACCCCGTGAGCAATCACTGTTCCCTCAAGGCAACAACCACTGGATCATCAACAATGACACCTGCTTGTGTCACATCACAGCATGCGCACCACAAATATTTCTGTAGTGAATAGCTGAGGCCAGATCAGAGTGGTGCTTAGGTGTTCTGTGCAAGAATGGAAATCATCAGCAAAGACTACCCAGGGGAGGTGATGGCTAAGCTCACCACTAAAGGATGTGTCTAATGAAAAAGAAGGAAAAAAGGAGACACCTTTTACAAATACAAGTGGATAAAAGCAATGGGAGCACAGCACTCCTGGCAGAGGCTGGAGGCAGAGACCAGGCTAAGGAGTTTACACTATACCCTGAAACCATGCGGAGCTTACAGTGATTAGAAACAGGGAAGTTACAAGACCAAATTCATTTAGGAAGCTCATTCTGGCAGGGATTTTAGAGGATTTGGGGAGAGGGAGATGCTAAGTGGTAAAGAATCTTACATTTATTATTTTATAGTTAATGTGTAGCTCTCTGACAGTATCTGTCAAAATGCACATATTCCCTACCCTATCAATTCTACTTCAATTTCTGTCCTCAGAAATCACATGTGTGCATGCAAGATATTCACTGCATTATTTGTACTGGCAAAAGACTGAAGGGAGACTAGTTAAATAAGTTGCCATACACTCGTATAGTAAATACTATGCAGTGGGCAGTTCAGTCTATAGTAGTATACAATGACTTCCAAAATTAGTATGTGAAGAAAACCATTTTTGTGTATGAGTGTATTTTTAAAGGACACCCTCCCCTCCCCCACCAGCCACGTGCATTTAAAATCTCTCTGGAATAATGCACAAGATACCAGTAGCTAATAATTGCCTTCAGGAAGGGGAGCTGAGTGGTTAACAGAGAAGAAAAATAATTTTTCACCAAATGTATTCCCTTTTAATCTCCTTGAGTGTTGTACCTTCTGCATGTACTCCTTGTTTAAACAGATAAAATATAAAATAAAATTAATGTAGCACGGTCCTCCTATGGACTACCTGCTTCCTTCCTCAACAAACCAACATGCAAATAAACCCCACTGTTCCCTCTGACAGGGACCCAGTCACTTTCTGGGCTCAGCACAGGGTCATCTTCAGGAAGAATTCTTTTCTGACACCTCACACCATGCCCGCCTCCAGGAGAACCAACCCCCTTCTTACTCCCAAAACATCACCCTGATCGGCCTCATCCATTCACTACAGAAATATTTGCTGTGCATGTGCTGTGATGTGGACAAACAGGTGTCATTCTTGATGATCCACTGTTTGTTGCCTTGAGGGAATGGTGACTTCCTGGTAGGGCTACCTGCTGTGGCTGCATGTAAATGAGAGAGTACAAAATTGGGGAAAAGATGTACACAGATGAACTCTTGTTTTTAAAGAAAGAGCTGGCTCCTCCCTCACTGACAAGGGACCAATTCCAACATGAAGCCTAAGACCTGATCAAGTGCAGAACAGATGGGGTGATGAAAATGAGGGCTTTGCAAAGGAAAAAGACGAATGGAGGGCAGTCAATGGAGTATTTACATGCAAGTCTGGCCAAGGGTCAGCACTTCAAAAATAATACAGAGAAAAGTGAATCCCTACAACTGCCAGGGTATCACCCACAACACGAGAATCCAGCTACTGTGCAGAAAGGGTCACACTACACATCTAATAATTTTAAGAAAAGATCTGCTTTGAACATATGAAGGAAGGAAAGCAGGCAGGGAGGAAGGAGAGAGGTCTGTCCTTGAATTGTGGCTTTAGACCAAGTCAAAAGAAAAACACTTTAGAACAAATTATCCCTAGAGAAACACACAGGCAAAAACTTTGTGCGGGGGGGGATACATTTCACTTCAATATTCCTTTGGCATATTAGTGACTACTTCTCCAAATTTAAAAAAAAATATATGATTAAGTAGAGACAGAAAGTAGAATGGTGGTTATCAGGAGGTGGAATAGGAAGTTATATTGTTTAACAGGTACAGAGTTCCAGTTTGGCAAGATGAAGAGTTACGCAGACAAATGGTGGGGATGGTCACACAACATTATGAATGTCCTTAATACTACTGAACTGTATGTACACTTAAACATGGTGAAGATGGCCGATTTTATTTTGTGCTTTTCACCACAGTAAAAAAAAAAGGAAAAAAGTATGATTAAAGAAGACCCTGGAACTAAGCTTCATTTTCAAAGCCTGCACACACCCAACCTTATAGGGCATATACCATCTAAACTTAGATGTGAGAAGAGAGAAGCCAGCCTGGGGCTATAGCTAGTCCCACCTCTGCCACCAAACACATGGCTGGTCATGACTCCCTTTCCACATCTAAAAAAGGCTCTAAGGTTTCTCTCAGCCACAGAATTCTTGGTGGCATCCAAACTTCTCTTTGTATAAGCTATCTCTTCCTCCCGCCGCCAGCTTTCTCCTTCAAAACACGGAGTGAGGAGTCATAGAAAATCTGCGTTCACCCTTCTTATTTTCTTTCTTGGGACTAGTGCTGCTGCCCCAATAGAATGTGGTAAAAGGAGACCCCATGAGCTACACTGTCAGCCCCTCGAGGACAGGGTCTGGCCTTTCTCACCTCTGCAAACCCACAACATCAAAAGCTGGGTGACTGTGCTGGGCTGAATGTGATGACATGAACCATCACATCCTGTCCACAATGACCCTCCAAGGGGAAGAACACTGCCCTTAAGCCATGGCTCTAATCTTGGGGAAGCCACTCACCTCATCTCTGCCTTTTTCCTCATGTATAAATTGGGGTTGTTCATTGCTCTGAATATCTCGCTAGTCTCTAGTGAGGCTCAAAGAGACACAATATGAGGAACTACTCTACGAACTGAAAAAGACTCAAGTCTCTCTATTTACAGGCTTAGCCCAGAAGCAATGACAGCAAAGGGCTATCTGAGAAACTTCTCATCATAAAAGTGATGATGACAAGTATGGTAGGTTTATGGTGTTTTTAGGGTCAACCTGGAATGTGAGCCCAAAGTTCCC